CAGAGATACAGCTTCTTCATTACCACCTTCCAAGAAAAGCTTCAAACACAGTAAGCCTCTAAATAGCAAATGGCTATCACACGCCTATACCAAACTTTCCCAGTCTTTCTCAGTCACAATGAAATAAATGATTTACTCAACCTCCAAGACAGCTTAGGGCTGATCTTTAAACAATGGTAAGATCAGCACTCGGGAGGCAGAGAGGCAGGCGGATCTCTGTGAGTTAGAGGCTAATCTGGTCTACAGAGCAAGTTCCAGGACAACCTCCAAAACAAAACAATGCAGAGAAACACTGTCTTGAAAAACCAAACCAAACCAAACAAAACAAAAGAGTATGGTAAGATCGACGACACACAATAGCCATAGCTGATTTATTCAGTGCCTCTTATGTTCCCAGCTCTTGCTGCAGCTTTCCTCAGTTAACCCATACAACATGCTGTAACACAAGAATTTTATGTTTTGCCAATGAGAAATGGGATATTCAGAAATGAAGAGACTAACCTGGGTACAGTGGCTCATGCCTGTAATCCCAATAATCAGGAGAATTGCCCTCTAAGGTCAGCTTAGACTAGTGTGAGATGCCAATCTCAAGCAACAACAATAAAAGAAAGAAATTAAATGACTCTTAGCTCCAAGAAAGAAAGAACTCCCAGTCCCAACTGGCAAACTAGCATTGGGATCTGCCATAAGGCAAAAGCTGTGTGTCTGTAGTCTTGAAGCTGAAGGAGCAGAAACTTTGGATGAGCAGAGACTAGACAATACAGTCAGAAGATGGCATAGTGGAGTGCCCTTGTGCCTCTGAAAGATGAAGAAGACCAAACCCAGAGATCCATCAATTCCGGGCCAACTAGTTTACATGACACATGAAGTGACCCACAATTCCCAGATACACCAATGCCCTCACAATAAACTCCTCATTCTTGAGCATGCTTTGTGTAGCCAAGAAGGCTCCATTAGAGTAGAGCTGAGCAGAAGGCTTTACCAGTGTTCTTGGTACAGGAGGGTGGCACCAGGTTCTGGCTTGTAGCTTGGGTAGGTACAGTCTTCAGAGTTCTGAGCTTGGAGTCTGAGCCCTCCCCTTTTAACAGGTGTCCTTTGGTCACCTGCGCTTGTAGAGACAGGGCTGAAGTTTCAGGCCTGAGAGTTGGGCTTTGGGTCCTACTCGAGGAGGCCCAGTCTTTTCAAAGTCAAACAAGAAGAAGTGGCTGTTGGTCAGGTCCTAGGAGCAGAGAATACCAATGAGCTACAAACCCTCACCTTAGTCACCCCTCTCTATGAGTTTTCCCAGCTCAGAGAGCTTCCTATAGCTCCTTCCAGAGTTTTGCCTTGAAAGAGCAAAATGTTTATCTCTGGGGCTACAGCCTCCTTCCTGAACACCATTACCCAGAAAAGGACAAACACAAGGGCAGACTTCTTGGGACCCTCACCTTGTAGATGATCTTAAAGCCAAGTTTGGTCACAGCCCCCCAAAAGGCCCGAATGTCCTCAAAGCGGCTGCTGACTTCAGCTACTTTGAGCAGACCCCTGGGAAAAGGAGGAAGTCATGAGTAAAGGTGGAGACACACCATGTACACAAAAATTCATCTGTGTCCTAGGGACTCACCCCGGCTTCAGTACTCGATTTGCCTCCTCAAGGAAGTCCCTGATGTTAGTGCCCATTAGTGAAAGGCAAAACACAGCCACATCCACGGATTCATCCTCCAGAGGCACCTGACGTGTCAGACGGAGCACAAGGTGGTGTAAAGGGAGATTCAGCACCAATTGCTTCAATTGGATAATAGGACGGGAAGACCAGGAAGGGTTAGAAAATCACAGGCCAGATACACAGAGGTGCTTACCTGGGCCATGTCACATACGGTGACCCTGGGGTCCAGAGAGGCCAAGTCAAAGCAGTGCACAGGGTTCCGAACACTTGAAGCTAGGCGGCAATCTCCACAGCCGAAGTCAGCTACCACCAAGGATGCAGGCCTGGGAGTGGAGGGGAAGGTGTCACACTCTAGTCTGATCTAAGTCCTTGATCACCCACTTCACATACTCCACAGCCCCTCTCCACCTCCCATTACTTCTGTCGGAGATCTTTGGCGATACGATCCACTGGGTGCAGTGGCCACTTCTTCACTTGTTTCTGAAAGCCTTGGTGATAGAGGAGAAAAGCCTCAGGGTCTTCCTGGAAGAGGCGTTGGGCAGCACTGCTGGGCCCTGAGTACAACTGTTCATTAAGGTATCGAAATCGGGCCCCATCCAACCGTTGTGTCATGCGTGCTCGAAGGGCTCCAGCTCTAGTCTGTTGACTGTCTGACTTTGGGACAGGAGGCACCTCAGCCTCATCTGTGGAAGCCACTGGAGGAACCTGGTCTGGAAGTGGCCGAAATTTGTTCTTGTGTCTCCGCTTATTCTTCTGCCGGTTCCGCCACTGTTTTCGGCTCAGGGTATTAGAGGAGTTACAGGATGTGGACTCAGGGCTTGGCTTGGGTGGGTCAATTGTAGCAGTACTTGTCCTTGCATTGTGAACTGCTGAGAGGAAGATGAGAAGGCATTTGAGGCTTGATCCCCTAAATTCAAAGACATGGCAAATCATCCTGGCTTTTCCTTTCCCTTGTTCACAGGCAAAGTCTGTGGCCTGGATAAAAGTGCCTTTTACCATCCAGCGTGTGTGTGTGTGTGTGTGTGTGTGTGTGTGTGTGTGTGTGTGTGTGTGAGAGAGAGAGAGAGACAGAGAGACAGAGAGACAGAGAGACAGAGAGAGAGAGAGAGAGAGAGAGAGAGAGAGACCTTTGTCATCTATTCAGTTAGCTCACAGATGCCACCCCCCACCCTCCCATATACACATATACGGTACCTGTATGGTCAACACTGTCCAGGTGCTGGGTTGGGTGTGAATGAGAATATTTCTGGCATTTCCTCTTTCCTTTTTCTTCTTCAGCAGAGATCCCACCAAAGAGAGTTTGTCTGTGGCATTTCCTTTCTATTTCTTTGCCCTCAGAGTCACTGATAGATAACACCTGTTTTTGACATTTTCTTTTTCTTTTCTCCCCTCCTTCCTTCAAGGCATTGGCTTGTGAGGGCCTTTGGAGGTATTTTTTCTTCCTTCCTACCTCCTCCTCCTCAGAGTCACTGCCAGGTGGGCTGGGGAATTTCTGGGAAAGAGATGCTGCTTCCAGAGCCTTTAATGTGGCCAAGAGATGGCGGCGCTTGCGGCCCTAGAGGCAGACAAGGGATGAGAGTAGATGTGAGAATGGATGAGGTCTGGAGATTAAGAAAGGAGAGATGGGATTTAGTTCAGACACTGGTGATTTTTCTCAGCCAGTTTGTAAAGTGTGCCAAGCCCAGAACTTTCAAGCTGCAACCCCACAATCTAGGAAGCTGGAGAGTGGCAACATGCTTCTACCCTGCTTTTTTAAGCCTGTAAAGGATTGTCAGGTGATGTTCCTTAAAGGAATGTGCTAAGGTCACAAACCACAGGACCAAGACAAGACCGCAGCTGATAGCATTCCAGGAGCACCAGAGAGGTTTCTTGAAACAGGAAGGACAGCATCACACATGTCTATTAAAGATGTTCCTAACTGCAGTAGCGATAATAGCCAGGTAGGATGAGGCTGCACACAGGCAGGCCAGCGGCCTGCATTAGAAGGATGGAATACAGATTAAAAGAACACCCTGGGCTGACTAAAAGTCAGGAATACCCAAAGGAGATACAATAGTTCTCACATTCGATGAAACTCAAAGGAAAAGAAAGACCTGTTTTCTGTGAAGCTGACTTGTGGTTCAAGTCCTGCTGCTGATCCTCGGCCAGGCATTTACCTCGGAAATTCTGGGTTCCCCATACCTTTTTTAAAATAGTGATCCTGATAACCATCCCTGCCACCTGCTTTGACTGTGTCCAATATACTTTCTACAGTGCAACTAAGAACCTTTCCAAGCTGGGGGTGCAGCTCAGTAGTGAATGCTTGCTTACCAAGCCCTGGAACTGATCTCCAGTATAAAGTCATGCCTGGTGATAGAAAATGTGGCGAAACCACTCCATTGCTAAAGCAACTCCATTGACTTCTACCCTTAGCGTACGAAAACTTACTTTTCAAACCTTTCATTTACTCTGTACTCCACCCTCCGAACCTCGCATTCCTATCTTGATACACTCTAACTCGGTGTGTTTAACCCCCGGGCTTCTCCAGGTTTTTCTCCATCTCAGGTACGCTCTCTCCTCTGTACCAACTTCTCACCAACTGTATTTTAAGGTCAGTTTTTTTTTTTTTTTTGGGGGGGGGAGTTTCCGGATCTTCAGATAAGGACTAACTCCCTCCATCCCGATCCACGACAGCACTGCAGGCTCTCGGTCTCCCCAACACGCACAAGGGCGGCTCGGGAGGGTCGGCTTCGCCACCTCAAACAGCCCAGTCCCCGGCCGCTCACCTTGACTGGCGGAGCAGTCGCTGGCCGATTCTGTGTTGTCGCTGGACGGAGGCCCACGGCTGCTGGGGCCGCCTCGACCCATTCGGGCTCCTCGAACATGCCAGTGGAGGGCAGGGTCGCCGGAGCCCACGCCACGGCCACGTGCAAAGCCCGTCAGGGTATCGTAGCGTTGGACCCTAACCAAATCCAGCCGGAAGCCACAGAGTGAAAGCCTGTGGTGGCTAGAGCGGCCGGCGCGGAGCAGAGCACCATCGAGTGCAGCTGCCGGGAGCTAGAGAGGCAGTAGGAGGTCGGAAGGGAGGGACGGTGGCCC